CTCTTGTTTTCTTGGGGTGCATTCCAACTGCAGAAGGTAAGAAGTATTATTTTATTCTAAATGAGTATTAAGCAATTATAATGCAATCTTTTACAAGATTTATTGAATGTGCCTTTGTCTGCATGTATTTTACTTTATAAAACTATCTGGTACAGAAATGAAGTAATAGTGATATAATATAAATGTTAGTTACTAAAAGAGATTTTTTTGTTTGTTAATTTTTATAATTTGTAACTATTACTTGGCCATAATTTTAGAAACTGTTGGCATTAAGGTTTATCAAAATTGTCATTTGTCTTACAGCAGTGAAGTACTATTTAGGATGTACTTAATAAAATTATATTTATTTTTATAATTATATTTATATTTATTAATGTAATTAATAAAAATATAAGAGAGCTGTGTGTGCTTTCTATTGCTTATGAGATTGGAAATATTTGCTTGACTGATAGAAAATATTGTAAATTGTCTACCCAAATGATATTACTTTAAACCAGGCAGAACAGATTTAAATTCATAATCTGAATCTTTTACTGAATTGACTTTTCCTCTGTTTGTCCGTCACTTTAGACAACTCTTGGTTATATCAATTCCCTTTTTTATAGTATAGTTGTGTTTTTCCTTTAAATTTCAGTTATGACTTTGATGTAAGTCTTGAAGAAACATCTGTGTTTTCATGTCATAGACATGCCATTTTGCTTACAGCTTGAGATTAATCTTCTTAACTTCAATTAGTATTCTGTTAAGTTCATTTGTAATAACTCATTTTTAAGTAACAGGTTTTGGATAAAGCTTTATTAATATTTAAATTTTAAGTTGTGTGTATGATGTGTGAATATTGTTATATATGTATCGTGGTGCTCTTGTGGCAGGTTCTTTGATTTTGGTCTGTTAGACCCTTTACAGGTGGTCGTGGTGGTGTTGTCTTTGAGGACAGAGTGACTGGCTGGGCTGTTTCATGTCTTCTGGTCTGTTTTGTTTAAAGCAGGGCCTTACTAAGCTCTGTCTCAAAATTAGATGTGTGCCACCATGCCCAACTTTCTCTGATTTTAACCCCACGTGCCTGATACTACTATTAGTATTTGTTTTTGAGGTTTGAAGTCAAAGCCATTTACTATAATCAAAGATTTACTGTAACTCCAAGTTACTTCTCTGAGAAAGAATCTGATAGAAAATGTCAGGAATTGACTAAATGATTGGGTCAGACTACTTAAAAACTCAGAATTTCAACATTCACATCTTGCATAGCTCCGTCACAAAAACAGAAAGCACAGCCTGTCTGGAGACAGAGTTCAGCATTCAAGAGCACTTGCTACTTTTGCAGAGGGCCCAGTTCCAGTTCAGTTTCTGTTAGTTTTTATAAAGCAGCAAAAAGCAGCCCGGTGGTGGTGAGGTACACCTTTAATCCCAGCACTCGGGAGGCAAAGGCTGGTGGATCTCTGTGAGTTTGAGGCCAGCCTGGTCTGCAAGACCTAGTTCCAGGACAGGCTCCAAAACTTCAGAGAAACCCTGTGACAAAAAACAAAACAGAACTAAAACAAAAGAAACAAAACCAAAAAGGAGAAAGCAATTACAACAGCACTAGCAATTAAGATACAGCATTACATTGCCAAATGAGTACTAACTTCCCAATAAGGACAATGATATAAAATTTGATGGGATTACTGTGTTTTTATTCTTTCCAGTTCAGTTCTTGTATAATTATACCCATAATCTATTTTTTTTTTCACAAAGATGGGTTTCAGTGTCTGGGTTCACGTTAGCACTCCTTTTACCTGGAATCGTAAGATCGCACATGTAACCTTTTGTACTTGAAGACAAACACTATTTGGGATTTGGTCCAGCTGTTAAGAACTTTAATCATCCCAGCTGGGCAGTGGTGGCACACACCTTTTGTCCCAACACTTGGGAGGCTGAGGCAGGCAGCCTCTGTGAGTTCAAGGCCAGCCAGGACAAGTTAGGGCAGTTACAGAAAAATCCTATATTAAGGTAAAACAATTAAACGAAACAAACCTTTAGGCAACCTAATCATCTGTAATAAGATAGTAAATAGGTAGGTAGTTAATACCCTTATTAGAGGAATGAAGAAGCATTCTTAAAGCTACTTTTATTTTATGACCTGTTTATCATGAGATTTAAAAGTTAGTGTCACAATGACCAGTATTTGAAATGACCTTGGTTAAGAGGAGAGTTAGGTATTTCATATGCATTATATTTAGACTCTTAGGCATCTTTGTCTCATAGACATTGAAATTGCATAGGTAGTTAGTGATAGAACATAAACTCATATTTTGCCTCACTTTTGTGTTAAAGGTAGTTAGTTGATTGGGCAAGGATCTTACTTTGCCTCCTTGGTGTTGGGGATTGAACCCAGGGGCCTCACAAGGCATGGTAGGCAAGTACTCTGCCAACCATTGGACAACAAGTTGTGTTTTGTTGTTGTGTGTATTTTTAACAGTTTCAGCTGGGCTTCCTGAAACATTTCTTTAATCCTAGCCCATTTGTGTTGCAGCCTTCTCTCTGGGTTTTCATATGCCATATTATGGCAATTCGGGAATAAAGGGGATGAATGAACACAAGCCCATTAGAGACATCCAAGATACTTTGTGACTTTTTTTTTTTATTAGTTTAGGTGTTAGTGTACGTACATGTTCATGTGGGTGCAAGTGCATTTGTGGTGGTTAGAGGTGGACATCAAGTATTTTCTGCTGCCCTTCCCTCCACTCCACTTCCCATTATCTCTTCTGTTTGGCTAGACTGACTGGCCAGTGAGCTCCAGGGTTCTGCCCTTTTCTTTTTTAATGATTTATTTTATGTGCATTGGTATTTTGCATGCAGGTATGTTTGTGTGAGTGTGGGATCCCCTGGATGTGGAGTTACAGACAGTTGTGAGCTGCCCACATGGGTGCCTGGCATTGAATCTGGGTTTTGGAAGAATAACCAGTGCTCTTTGCTGAGCCATCTCTCCAGCCCCTTATCTGCCTTTCTTTTCTTCTTCCTTCATTTGGTTTTTTGAGACAGGGTTTCTTTATGTAGCTCTGGCTAGCCTGGAACTCACTCTGTAGACTAGGCTGGCCTCGAATCCACAGAGGTCCACTTGCCTGTGCCTTTCTTAATGTCAGTTCCTCCACTTCTGTCCATGAAGGTCATGGTTTCTGTAGTAGTAGACTTGGTTTAATCAGCAGAGAGCTGAGAGAAATGAGTTGAGAATGTCCAGTTAAGTTGTTTTGCCCCTTAAGAATTGTGATAAACAAAAACTCAAACAAAATACTTAAGGAGGCTGTAGTAAGACTTCAGACCATTTCCTGACTCTGTATACTTCTTTTCATAAGAACTTTCAACGTGTTTTCTTGTTACTTCTGTTTTTCTAGGTACATGAACACGTTGCTTTAAGTGTTGCAGCACCAAATGCCAGCTATAGTGTCTCATACCTGTAATTCTAGCGCTTGAGAGATTGAACTAGGAATATTGCCTTGAGTTCGCCAGCCTGCACTACATACATTCAGAGTTCCACACCACTTTAGACCTGTGCTATAAAATGAGGATTCTGTCCCAAAACAAAAACAAAATCCTACAAACCATTTAAAAAAGTATTAGCGTACTTTCTTTTATACTGTAGCCCTTGACCTTAGACTAATAACTGAATTTTAGTAATTTTTTTTATCATTTTATTTTTTTATATTTTAATATTGTTCTTAATATAAGCATTTATTTGTCTGTTTTTTGTTTTGTTTTGTTTTTCAATACAGGGTTTCTCTATGTCCCTCTATAGACCAGGCTGGCTTAAACTCAGGGTTCTGTCTGCCTCTGTCTCCCAAGTTCTGGGATTAAAGGCAGACAGGCAGACATAGGTCTGCCCTTCTTGTTTCTCAACATTAGACTTTAGAACATTAGCCCTATTTTCTTTTTTTCCTCCCTTCCTTCTTCCTTCTTTCTAGCCCTATTTTCTTTTCCCTTTCTCCCCCCTTCCCTCTCTCCCTTCCTTTTTTTTTTAAAATTATTTACCTTTATTTTATGTACATTGGTGTTTTGCTTACATGTGTGTCTGTGAGCATGTTGGATCCACTGGAACTGGAGTTACACACAGCTGTGAGCTGCCATGTGGGTGCTGGGAATTGAACCCAGGTCCTCTGGAAGAGCAGCCCATGTTCTTAATTGCTAAATCATCTCTTCAGTATTAGGCCCATTTCCTTAATGCAATGACAAACCAAATAAGAGTACCTGTTAGGGAATTTTATTGCCAGTTTTTTTGGGTTTTTTGTTTGTTTGTTTGTTTGTTTCTTGGGACTACAGTAAGCTTTGATGACACTTGTAAATTAATTAAATGAACCCCCCCCCCCCCCCCCCCCCCCCCCGTAGGAGCTTGTAAGAGAGTGGCGTTGAACTTGTGATCCTTTTTCCTTGGTCTCCTAAATTCTGGAGTTATAGTTGTGTGCCATCATGCCCCAGCTAGAAAGTACATTCTTGCATCTACATAATAAGTTATGTACTTAAAATTTGAGAAAATGGGAAACCTAATCCATGCAAAATAAGTCTATTAAGCACGTTTTTAAAGTGATCTCCTGTGAAGTTTAAGAAACTGTGATAGTTTTACAAATCAGCTTTAGTTTAGTGCAGCAGCATATGAGGATGAATATTTGAATCTGTGTTTGTGCGCGTGCACTAGTGTGAGCACATAAGAGTGCATGTGTGCATATTCCACTCTCATGTATACTTCTAAAGTTTTGTGTTTCAATAGGTTTGTAAAATAAATTTGATACTGCTCTATGTGAATTTTGTGTTCTTTTATTTGTTAGATTTAGACCTTTTTTCCCCTTTAGATACTCAAGAATGGCTTTTCCATTCATTTTCCCCCTTGGTAATCTTTATTGATATTTTTATTTTATATAAAAATATATTTAAAGAAAGGAATATTGGCCAATTAAAAAATTAAGTCAGAATTACAAAGACTCTTCAGAGATAAACTAATCACTATGCTCTTCACCTTCTTTGCTTTGTAGCGGGACTTCCCCTCTTGCATGCCTAAATGCGATGCTGCACACAAACTCCCGAGGTGAAGAGGGAATCTTCTATAAAGTCCCAGGTAGAATGGGAGTGTATACTTTGAAGGTAAGTTGCTTGGAAGACAAATAGTAAGTGACAATATATAATTGAGTCACAGAGACAGAATTCTGTTCTTGAGGAACTTATTTCCAGGAAGACATAATATTTCATCCCTAAAAATAAGTAAGTAAGTAAATTTGGGGGAGGGAGAAGATGTTCTGGGAATTGAACTCAAGGTCTCATGAATATCAAGAAGGCACCCTTTGTATATATTTTGATTTAAAATAATTCTTTTAAGATACATTTTATGTGTATTGGCTTCTTGCCTGCATGTATGTCTGTGTACCACATACATGCAGTACTTATGGATGCCAGAAGGCAGTGTTAGATTCTCTGAAACTTGAGTACAGGTGGTTGTTAGATACTTTGTGGGTACTGGGTATTGATCCTGGGTCCTCTGGAAGAGCAGCAATCAGTGCTCTTAACTGCTGAGCCCTTTATTTAGTCCCCCTTTCTTGTTTGTTTGTTTGTTTGTTTATTTTGAGACAGGGTTTTTCTGTGGCTTTGGAGCCTGTCCTGGAACTAGCTCTGTAGACCAGGGTCCCCCTTTCTTGTTTGTTTGTTTGTTTGTTTGTTTATTTATTTAGAGACAGGGTTTTTCTGTGGCTTTGGAGCCTGTCCTGGAACTAACTCTGTAGACCAGGCTGGTCTCGAACTCACAGAGATCCACCTGCCCCTGCCTCCCGAGTGCTGGGATTAAAGGCGTGCGCCACCATCGCCCGGCCCCTTTCTTGTTTTAAACAACTTCAAAATATCTAAATTATAACTTTGTAATTATTTTGAAACATACTACATAGAGCCATAGATAGATTCTTTACTCATAGACTTCCCCATCAAAGCTTATGGTTATAGTTATTATTCCTTTTCATAATGGAGAAAACTAAAGTTCAAGAGATAATTTCTTGACCAATATTGGACATACTGTATCAGAACAAGAATAGAAACTTTGATCAGACTTAAGGCCTACATTTCTTCTTTCATAACTAGCTGACTAGTAACTAATTTTGTACACTGAAATGGTGACCTCTTCTTATCAATATCCTTTCACTTATGAGTAGGAAAACCAACCTAAATGAGCTTTAGTAAGTAGGCTGTAGAATTTATTAACTCATGCAGCTAAACATTCATGGGAAATCCAGGCTGGATCCAGCTGATCAAAAGATGTCATCTGGTCTTGGTCTCTGTTCTTTCTTTTAGCTTTATTCTCATTCAGCCTCTTCTCATCGTATATGAATTCATTCTGCGTCTCCATTCTACAAACTATAAGTCTAGAGAGACAAGAGTGCAGTGACTAAAGCAAGAGGCACCTTACTCAAATTTGACTCACTTGGTTTAGCCCAACCCATGTGACACCAGACATGAATTATGGCTGTTGACGAATGTATAGAATCATTATGACCCTTGGTGTAAGGTTGTGGTTAAGCTTGCGACAGCCTGATGATTATGGAGGGGGTTTGTTTCTCAAAGGAAGTTTATCAGCAAACAAGAATGAATGTTTGACAGGCTATTATGCCCAAAGTGACACATCCATAGGAAGTTACTTCTGTCCCACTACCTCTTATTTCTGAGGTCATCACGATGCTCAGAGGTAGTATGGAATTCACTAACATTAAGAACGTCTCACCTAGGGTGCTGAGGTGGTTCCGCATGTAAAGGCACTGACAAACTGCTTTTGCTCCTCTGAGCACATAGAAATGGAGAAACACAAATTGTCCTCCAGCTTTCATGTGTGCACTATGGCACACAGGTGCTCATAGTTACACGCTAAATAAGGTAAAAAAACACAGCAAATGAATTGTTTTCCGGGTGTTGTGGCCTTGCATGCTTTTAATCCCAGTACTCAGAAGGCAGTTATAGTGTATCTGAGTTCTAGCCAGGTAAGCCTATGAACGCATAGTGAGATCCTGCCTCAAAACAAAAACATACATGTAGCAGCTGGATGTGGTGGCATATGATTATTAGTCATAGTATTCAGGAGGCCAAGGCAAAAGTAATGATCCATTTGTTGATCACCCTCAGTGAGCTATTAAAGTGAGCTAAAGGCCAATCTGCAATATAGCACAACCCATTCTGCTTTTTAATCTTAACTTCCTCTGACTGTAGTGTTTAGCTTGTGGGTGTTATGGGACTTTAGTTACAAATGAAGCTTTCCCCTTTTTTTGATACTCCATGATTTAATTGAATTTATTATTATTTATTTATTTTTTGGTTTGTTTATTTATTTGTTTGTTTGTTTGTTTTTTCAAGACAGTGTTTCTCTGTGACTTTGGAGCCTGTCCTGGAACTAGCTCTTGTAGACCAGGCTGGTCTCGAACTCACAGAGTCCGCCTGCCTCTGCCTCCTGAGTGCTGGGATTAAAGGCGCCGCCACCACCGCCCAGCTTTAATTGCATTTATTAAATGCATACTAGGAGAAGAAAACCTGAAAATGTATTTTCTGTTATTACATACCACTTTGTACAGTTCTTCTGATACCAGTGTTTGGGGGTTTCTTATCAAGCAGTTCTCTAACTGAAATCAGCTTTTAATTTAACTCAGATTTTATATTGTCTGGCTGTTGTATCAGGCAAAGAGCCCAGTACCAAAGGTTGCCCTTCACTTCAGCTATTAGTTACAAGTCTTTGGCTGTGACCTAAGCTCTGAATGACCAGCTGTAATTGATATTCCTATTTCCTTTTTCTTGGATTTGATTAACTTTCTAGGACTGCTTATAAAATATGCCAGAGTGGGAATTTTTTTTAAGTTTTCCATTTATTGTAATGTAGATAAAAGGCATTCATAAAGTGAGGTGTGGTCATTGAGTATGGAATCTGTCTTGGCATACCAGCAGCCTCCATGTACAAAGTTGATTTTAGCCATGTACAAGCTCATCCAAAGCCCTGGTCTTCAGAATTTTTATGGAAGATATATGATATGAGCGTACATGATTCTATAATTGACCATCAACTCAGCCTTCATTCTTGAGAAGTTGGGCTAAAAGTCCCTATCTTCTAATCACATTATTGTCTCTCTTAGTAGTCAGCCCCCACTCTGAGGCAGGCTATTCAGTAGCTGACAAAGAGTCATCACTTAGGTGTTGTGGGGAGCTGCAGGTTGCATTCCGCCACCCAGCTCCTGCCACCGGCTAGCTTTACCCGAAATAACAACACACAAACTGTATTCTTTTAAACACTGCTTGGCCCATTATGTCTAGCCTCTTCTCGGCTAACTCTCGCACCTGGACTAGCCCATTTTTGATAATGTGTGTAGCACCCCTAGGTGCGCTTACCAGGAAGATTCAGCATGTCTGACCTGACTGCTTGCTTCATTGCCTCTGCCCTGGAGAGGGGAACATGGCCTCTGAGCTCACTTCCTCTTCCTCCCAGCATTCTGTTCTGTTTACTCCTCCCACCTATGTTTTAACCTATGAGGGCCAGCCAAACAGTTTGTTTATTACCAATGACCTTCCTCCATCAACTTAGGAGACGCTAACTCACTTAGGTACCCTGTTTCTAGAACTAGAGTCAAACAGAACAGTCAGGTTTCCCAATCCTGCTATTGATCAGGAAGTACAAAGGTTTTGGCACTCTATCAAAAGCTCAGAGTTAAATTGTGGACAGCAGTTAACTGGGTAGTGATGGTGGCGCACGCCTTTAATCCCAGCACTGGGGAGGCAGAGACAGGCGGTTCTCTGTGAGTTTGAGGCCAGCCTGGTCTACAGAGCAAGTTCCAGGACAGGCTCCAAAGCAACAGAGAAACCCTGTCTCAAAAAACAACAACAAAAAGTTCTTGCTGATAATTACGGAGGAACAGGATTCAGTTTCCAGCCTGATTTCCTCTTCTGGCCTCCACAGGCACTGCACACACATGGTGTATATATGCATGCATGCAAAAACTCACATAAAATAAAATCGTTAAAGAAAAAAATTAAGAATTCAAATAATGTATGTCATATCTATTGACAAGTCTATGACTGAGACTAAGATGAATAATTTATAGTTCTTGATTTCTTTAATCGCTTACCTTTTATTTATTAAAATATTTCATATTTACAAAATATACTGTGAAGCTCTACCATTATAATGAAGCAAAAAAGATTAGTTTTGAATAAAGAGGTCTAGAAAGTTTATATTATTTACTTGGAAGATTTAAGCTAGACTTAAACATATATAAGAGGAGTGAAGGCCGTCAAGGATAAATAGCTCAAATAAAGGGACAGATAAAATTCTGAATGCATTCAAAAGTAGAGAAAATTGGATTAAGTGATAGTCACTGGAGTCAAGATAATTGATAAACATTAGTTAATAAAGTTTCACCTTGACTGAACTCTGTTTGGGTGGGGTGTTGACTTAAGTAGATGGCCGAGGTCCTCAGGGAGAACCAACAAATCTGTGTTTTAAGATTTTCATGAAAAGGAGATTACAGTTTGGAATAGGAATTCAGAGTAGTAAAATAGGTAGACCCAAGAGAGATTTGAGACATAGAACACTTTACATTTGGTATGGGTAAAGCAGTGGGTGAGAGAAGATTCTAAGATTTGGGGCATGAGCCGTTGATCCCAAAGGGATCACAAGATTTTTGCAAAAAGAAGATAATTATATTTGTATTTCAGATACTTGTTGAATCTACAGGTCAAGATGTCTGGCTGGCAACTAACTCTATAAAAGCTGTCCTGCATTTTGAAAGAAGGAATATAAAAATATGGGGTCTGTATTTTAAGAAAGTGTATAACATAAGAGATGGATTAGAGAGAAATTTAAGTGGAAAACAATTGTTTTTACTCAGTCTGACTCAGTGGTTTTAGGTATATGTCATGTGGTGCCAGTTAGATGTGGGGCAATTTTTTTGTGTCTGTCAGTTCATTTTTTAATTGAGTATGAAAATAATTATGTGGGACAACGAAAGTACTGGTGGAAAGAAAATCCATAAGAGAAATAACATTCACTAACTCATTTATTTGTGTATGCTTTTTGTACCATGTAAATGCATAGTAAATAAGATTGTTCTCATAAAGCACTATTGTAAACATTTAATATTAATTAGTTCATTTAGTTTTTATGTAGCTATTTAAGGTAGGTATCTTAGAAACTGAAATTAAGCTATGAGAGATTACTTTAGACTAAGGCTGTGTAATTGGGAGAAGACAAAGCCAGAAAGTCCTACTTCCCTAGTCCCTCATATTCTACTACCCTGTTTTTCTTATATTTAATGATCATAGTTATCCTTTCTAGTTAACATTCTCATTATTCAAAACGGAAACGAAAGAAAGTGATGTGATTCTTTAAAACCAAAACAACAACAACAACAAAAAACCATTCTGGGCGGTGCTGGTGCACACCTCTAATCCCAGTACTTAGTAGGCAGAGGCAGGCGGATCTCTGTGAGTTTGGGGCCAGCCTGGTCTACAAAGGACAGCCAGGACTAATACGCAGAGAAACCCTGTCTCAAAGAAACAAAAACCCAAACAAAAACTCCTTTTCTTGCTGCTAACTCTGTAATCAATATTGAGGACCCAATTAGGTGAAAATAATGTGATAATCTTGTTCTCCTGACTTTAATTCTGTAATTGAATTCAGAATACACGGGATACCCACACAAACCCACATATGTCTTAACAAAATTCTTGTTAGCTTTTTAAACCTGAGCATTACATCTTTTACCTGGATTTATATCTACCAGTTTTGGTGTAATTAAAACATATGTTGTGCCTGCATACGAATGTTGTGTATGATTTTTATCTTCTGAATGTAGATGGAAAATTGATTTTATTTGACCCCAAAAAATCAGGATATCATCAGATATTGGTGGTTTTACTATTTTATAATAAGAATTTATCAGTTAATTAAGTTAATGCTTTATATATTAGAAATTTAGTTTCGATTTGCTAAAATGGTAACAATCCTAACAGGATGCCTACATTTTCAGAAGGATGTGCCAGATGGAGTGAAAGAACTGTCAGAAGGTTCAGAAGAAAGCAGTGATGGTCAGTCAGATTCTCAGAGCTCTGAGAACAGCAGCAGCAGTGATGGTGGCAGCAACAAAGAGGGGAGAAAGAGCAGGTGGAAGAGGAAAGGTAATCTCTGACTGCTGCAGGGCAGTGCTTTATTGCTATTCTCAGACCATCAGCTGCTTCTTTCCCTTTTAACATAGTGCTCTGCAGTAGTTTCCTGCAGGGGTGGATGTGTTTGTTTTTAATCTGTCGGACACAGTGCAATAGCCACCCCTCATGGACCACTTGGACTGTGTGATTGAGGAATTTTCAGAAATATACTTTCCTACCTGGGTATGGTGGTGCAGACTTTTATTTCCTGTATAGGGAGGCAGAGGCAGGTGCATCTCTGTGAGTTTGAGGCCAATCTGGTCTACAAAGTGAATTCCAGGACATCTAGGACTATTACAGAGAAAAGCCCTGTACTGAAAACCAAAATTAAAAAATAAAAATCTATATTGATATAAAAATATCTCTAAATAGATATCTCTCTATATACTTATCTTTTTAGGGGCTGGGAGATTGTTCTGTGACTAATATATGTTGTATAAGCTTAGAGATCTGAGTTTGGATTCCTAGCACCTACAAATTTATGACACCAGTAAAGGGACCATCTAGTCTAGCCAGCACAAGCTTCAGGTTCAGTGAGGGACCCGGTCTCAGAGAGACAGAGAGAGAGAGAGAGAGAGAGAGAGAGAGAGAGAGAGAGAGAGAGGAGAATATCACTGGATGTTAAGCAAAACCAAAAACCATGAAGTAGAAAGAGGAGTATGTTGGGAGCTGTAATAAGGAAATATAATAAACACGAGGACCATAGTATAAATCCTCAGAATGTAGAAGTTGGTCAGGCATAAAATGTCCTTTTGGAGAACACTTTTAGGTTCCAATTGAATGTAAAGTATGGTGTTTCCATTTGCTTCCCACTCTTGACGTATGTACATACAGAGTTGCTCACATCAGGGTTTGTTTTGTGCTTTCTTGATTATATACTTTTTGTTCTTGGCTTTTTGGGACAGGTTGGGACAGATACATTATTTACAAAGACATTGATGCACATATATTTCATATAGTATATTTTCACTGCCCTAAGTTGTGTGATGTTTTCTTCTTTTGGCTTCTTGGGGGCCTACCATCCAGCTCCCAAATAAATCAAACACCGAAACTTATTGTTAATTAGAAATGCCTGGCCTTAGCTTGGCTTATTTCTTGCCCGCTTTTCTTAAATTATCCTGACTACTTTTTGCCTATGTTCCCCCCCCCCCCCTCTCTCTCACACACACACACACACACACACACACACACACACTCTTTTGGGTGGCTGGGCCATATCATCTTCCTCTCTTTGTTTTCTTTTTGCTCCTCTTTTTACTGTCTCCTAACAGCCCTGTCTACCTTGCTGTTGGCCATTCAGCTCTTTAATTAGAGCTTCACAGAGTTAAGCAAATGCAGCACAAACAAAAGTAAAACACCTTAAAATACTATTCCCCAACACCACTAAGTAGGCTCATACTCCATCTGCAGTGTCTCTGGCTAACTTCTTATCTTTTCTGTCTTCATAATTTTGCCTTTCCAAGACTGTCATAAAGTTGGAATCTTTTCAAATGGGCATTGTTTTTATTTACTTATTTTTAATTTTTTTGATTTTTGAGAAAGGGTTTTCTCTGTGCAACAGCCTTGGCTGTCCTGGAATTAGCTCTGTAGGACTGACTGACCCAAAGTCACAGATCCACTTGTGTCTGCCTCTTGAGTGCTGAGATTAAAGGTGTGCACCACCACTGCCTGGCATCAATGGGCATTGTTTTTAAAAATTGCATAAAAATTCTTTTTGTGGCCGGGCATGGTGGCTCACAACATTAAACCTTGCCCTTGGGAGACAAAGGCAGGTGGTTCTCTGAGTTCAAGGCCAGCTTTGTCTACAGAACAAATTCCAGGACAGCTAGATTGGTTAAACAGAGAAACCTTGTCTCAAAGAAAACAATAAATTTTTTTTTTTGAACGTGTGCATTCACGCCTGCACTGGTGTCACAACATTTCTATACAAATCAGAGGACACCTTACAGGATGTCCATGTCTACCCATGTGAGTGTTAGGGATCAAATCAAGCGGTCAAGCTTGGTGGATGGATGTTTTCCAACCAAAACACCTCACTGACTCCAGGTTGTCATCTTCCATTTAGTAATGTGTGTAGAGATTTCTCTGTGTATTTTTATGGCATATGGTACATTTCCTTGTAAAACGAAATAGAGCATGTGCATATAATTTTCATATAACCATCACCAATTAAAAGATGCATTTGTTACTTCATGTTTTAGCAATTATGAGTGAAAATACGAACTTTGTGTCTTTCTGTGGGTATATGTTTGTGTAAATTTACAGGAGTGTGACTGCTTGATTATGGTGAGAGTATGTTAAATTTAGTAACAAGTTGCTACTCTGCTGCAGTGAATGGCAGCTGCTGTTGCTTTATATCCTTATCATCAGTTTGTGTTATTTATCAGTCATCTAAGTGTTGGCCATTCTGATAGGTGCATATCAGTATGTCACTGTTGTTGTAATTTGTATTTTCCTGATTGCATGCTTTCTACATTTCTCTTTCTGCATGCTTATTTTCCATTTGAATATGTTATTTGGTGAGAAGTGTGCCCTGATTCTTGGCCCATTTTTGTTAAGTTTTTTTTTATTTATAGTTGGCCACCTGGAGGTTTTTTTTTTTTTTTTGTTGTTGTTGTTCATTTTGAATTGCAGTCTCTCTCTTTTTTTAAAAAAAACAAAAAAAAATCATTTTTTTATTTTATGGGTATGTAAGTTTTGTCTGAGTGTGTGTCTCTGTGTCATGTGTATACTTGGTGCCCACTTATGCCAGAAGAGGGCATTGGATGCCCCCGAGACTGGAATTATGGATGATTATGAGCCACCATTGCAGGAGCTGTGAATTGAATCTGGGTCCTCTACAAGAGCAGCCAATGCTGTTTACTGCTCAGCTCTCTAGCCCTGAATTATATTTTATTTGATAAGATTTTATATATATTTTCTCAAAAACTGTAGTTCCCCCCTCTTGGCAGTTTTGCCCTCTCCAAATGTGTGTGTGTGGTGGGGGGTGGTTTGTGAATATGAGTACATGTTCATATATGCTACAAAGTGGAGGTCAGAGGACAGCTTTTGAGGGAGAATGTCTTTTATTTCTGCCACTACCCTGAAACTTCTGGTCAGTTCCTCTGCCATGACCTCTATTTTCTTAGTAACACTGGGATTACAGATAAGTGCTTCCAGATCTGGGTTTTTTATAAATTTCAGAGATTGGAACTCACATTGTCTTTTTTTTTTTTTTTCAAGCTCTTGTACCAATTGAGCCAATTCTCCAGACCTGACTCTGGCAGTTTCTTTTTACAAAGCAGAAGTTTTTAATTTGAATGTAGGCAGTTTATTAATCCTTTGTTTTGTGAACTTGAGCCTTTGTTATTGTATTGAAAAGTGATGACCAAATCCAGCTTCACCTATATTTTCTTCTATAACGTCTAGAAGTTTTATATTTTAATTCTGCGATTGGTTTTAATTTTTAAATGTTTAGAGTGAGTATGTGCATATTGTATGTGTGGAGACATACTGGCTGTGTGGAGTCTATGCCTTTAGTTCTACTTTTGTGTGGGTTTTGAGGATTGAACTCAAAGTGTCATGCTTATGTAGCAATTGCCTTCACTTGCTGAGCCGTCTCACCAGCCTCACTTTGAGGTAATTGTTATGCCAGATCTGCTTCTTGTAATGTGGATATCCAGTTAGCAGGGTATGGTGTTGCACACCTTTAGTCCCAGCATTTGGGAGATAGTGCAGACAGTTATGAAGTCAAGGCCAGTCAGAGCTACATAATGAGAACTTACCTCAGAAGGAAAATAAAAGTACAAGTTGGGCAGCATTCTAAATTTTACTGTGGTTTAATCTCGGCTGTGACCATTATAGATGATGCTTACAGTGACTTTCTTACTCCTCTTCTCTGTTCTGCCTTCTAACCTTGGAGCGCTTACTGCTCTCAGCTCTTTCCTTACTAGGAAAAGAATGTTCATGATTACTAGCAAACACCAGATATAGCCCGCCTGTCTTTGTTCTCATACCGTTTGTTATCTTTCATAGCTAACCTAAGACACCTAAGGAATAATGACTCCATTGCCACCCTTTATCATCTATTCCTATTAATTTGTAGCTTTGTTCGATTCTGTTCGAAGAGGAAAGATTCCCCCCCCCCCCCCATTTAGTAAGCGGTATGTGGCAGTAGAAATTCTGAACTAACTTCTGAGTACCTTATGAGGATATTGATTTTCCTTGGGTAGACATTCAGTTTTCTTCCATTTGATTATCTTATAAATTTGAGTGATAGGTCAACTGCCTTAGACTTTAAAATTATGTGTCCTGTAATCATAGACTTGTTCATTTTAACTGTCTTGAGAGATCAGAAAAAAATGTTCTCTTTTTTTTTCTGCCCTTCTCACCCCCAATATAATAATTGTGCTACTCTTGGTGAACATGGAAATAATTCATCAACTCATTTATATTCTCTAGTATAGCTACTACATAGACAGTTCAAGGAAATAATCAGATAATCTTAGCTTTAAGTTACAAGTTCATTGGAGAGGCACCCAAACTTAAGTTGTCAGACACAAATGAAATGAGATGAAAACAAGACAAAATTGGGCCTTGTGTTGTAAATTCTTGATGAATAATAACAGAATAATTCCTGATAGTGATAAACAGCAACTGTGGCCCAGAGTCTTATTCTGCAGTTTCTTCCCTCCTCCCCCCAACAAGACAGGGTTTCACTGAGTAGCCCTGGCTGTCTTGGAATTTGCTCTGTAGACCAGACTGACCTCAAACTCCCAGAGATCCATCCGTCCCTTCCTCCTGAGTTCTGGGACTAAAGGTTGGGGCACCACCACCCAGCTATTCTGCAGATTTTTTTTAAGCACCTAATTTGAGAAGGATAAAGCTACAAGTGAAAGGTACTTTGTCTTTCCTCCATTTCTCTCCAGTTTGAACTTTTCTGTGTAAGTTTGAAAACTGTAGAACAAAACTAAGACACCAGGGACAGGAAACAA